CTTTGGCTGGCTGGGTACGGAAAAACTGGTGACCGTAGGAATTTTTCCGGGGTCCGGCTGCACACCAGAGGCGTCGACAAGGTGGCCCAACACTATAAACTGCCGGCGTCTGAAGTGGCACTTCGACGAGTTCAATTGGAGGCCTGCAGTGCGGAATATGTCGAGAATAGCTGACAAACGCTGAAGGTGGGTCTCAAATGTTGGGGAATATACAACGACATCGTCAAGATAACAAAGACATGTTGACCATTGAACCTTGTAGCAGAGAGTCCATCATGCGCTTCGAACGTGGCTGGGCGTTGCATAGCCAAATGGCATAACCTTGAACTGATATAGGCCGTCTGGAGTTACAAATGCAGTATTCTCTTGGTTCTTTTTAGTCGACAGCAATCTGCCAGTAGCCGCAACGTATGTCTATTGAAGAAAAGATCGGGCGCCGTGGAAACAATCGAGAAGCGTCATCGATGCGGGGTAAAGGGTAAACGTCCTTTTTCGTGATTCTATTCAGATGACAGTAATCCACGCAGAAGCGCCACGTCCCATCTTTCTTTTTAACGAGCACAACGGGGCACGCCCAAGGGCTCGAAGAGGGTTCAATAATTCTGTTGGCTAACATCTTGTTGACTTCTTCTTGAATTACTGTACGCTCGGTGGCAGACACCCGGTATGGTCGCCGATGAATGTGATGAGATCACATTGTGTTAATTGCGGTGCTTGACGAGTGAAGTCTGGCCGAGTGGACTGTGGTCGATGTCGAAATATGTCGCGGTATGAAGCCAGAAGGCTGGCATAGCGCGGTTGACTTCTCAGGTTGAGGTCCGGGCGATCATGGAGCGTAAGGTCGCATCGAGGCACGTGACATCCTGCGATGATGTGCTCGGGACATACGTCTGCCGTAAAACAGGTGAGGTGGTCGTCAATTAAGGGCCTTAGTGTGGCGATCGAAATTCCTTGGGGTAGCACTTGTTTTATGAAACCGAAATTGATAACAGGTAAATATGTTCGGTTAGAGGCCATGCTTACGACAGAGTGTGGGACAGTAATGTCACGCGCCAGGAGAACATCAGTAATCGGCGTCACGATATAATCACCGTCAAGCACGGAGAGGGTGTTGCCAATTCGATGAATGTGAGAGCTTTAGGCGGTATCCGGACGAAGTCAGTGGTGCACAAGCTGTTCGGAGTTCAGGGTCAGAATCCGGGAGAAGAGGAAGTTCTAGGCAGAGAGTACCGGCGGCACAATCGATGAGGGCAGAATGCGTCGATAGGAAGTCCATGCCGAAGATTAGGTCGTGGGGGCAATTTTCAAGCACCGTAAATAAAACGGGAACATGGCGGCCGGCAATACTAACACGAGCGGTACATTCCAGTGATGGCCACAGTTCCATTATCAGCGACACGGAGGGCTTTAGTTGCTGCAGGCGTGAGGACTTTTTGAGCAGGCGACACAGATGAGCACTCATTATAGACACTTGAGCTCCGGTATCGACTAACGCCGTCAAGGAAATACCGTCCACATACACCTCAATCAAGTTCGTATCAGTGGGGAGCGTCAATGGAGGATTTGGATAATTCGCAAGCGATGCAGCACTACCTCCCGGAGCTGCATGATCTAGTTTTCCGTCCGAGAGGATCCACAGTTGACCGGCGACGGATAGCGGCGTGGTTGGGGCGATGGGGAACGGCGACGTTGAGGTGGCGGCGAACGAGCGGTGGAGTGGCTGTTGGGGATGTTGGAAGAAAGGTACACACGACGGGCGAATACCGACGGGAGTCCTCGTATGGTCGATTAGAGGAAAATTGACTCCAGTTTGAGGGCGTCCAAGTGCTGCGGCAGTAGCGGGAGATATGGCCAACTCGGTGGCAGCGGAAGCAGATCGGCTTGTCGTCTGCAGTTCTCCATTCCGCCGGATTGCGGGATCGCGGAATAAAATGTGGTGCATTTGTTGTCATGGTCTGGAGACGGGTCGGGACACAGAGCAGGCCACAGGAAAACCAAGCTTTGCAATTTCCTGCCTCATGACGGCTTGAATAACGGAGACCGGCGGAGGCGTTTCTGCGGCGCCATGATCGAGCGGATGTGGAGGAAATGGTGCCGGACTTGACGCCTCAAGCTCCCGTCGAACTATTCGTGTCACGCTGTCCTGCATGGGTGGTGCGGCACCGAAATCGGTGCAAGTGGATGTAACAGCCGTGTTTGGTAGCCGCGTAAACTGAGGCAGAACACGGCGGCTTTTGGCCATTTCGAAGCGACGGCATTCCTTGATAGTCGTATCTACGGTCATGACGTTATTGAGACGAGCAAATTGAAGGCGTCGTCCGCGATGCCCTTAAGTATGTGGCCCACCTTGTCACTCTCTGTCATTTGCTCGTCGACTTTTCGGCACAACGCGAGGACATCCTGTATGTACGAGACATACGACTCTGTTGACGACTGCACACGAGTGGCGAGTTCTTTTCGCGCTTCCATTTGGCGACCGGACGGGTCCCCAAAGATGTCGCGTAGTCGCTCCTTGAAGGTATCCCAGCTGGTGAGCTCGGTCTCATGGGCGTCGAACCAGACCCGTGGGGTGCCGTCCAAGTAAAATATTACGTTGGCGAGCATCATGGTAGGGTCCCATCGGTTTGTGTGGCTAACACGCTCGTACATACGGAGCCAGTAGTCGACGTCGAGCCCAGGTTGTGCGGAGAATGTACCTGGATCACGGGGGGTGGGCATCATCAGGTATGTAGTGGCTGGAGCTACAGATGGAGACACTGACAGGCTGTTGTCATTGGTAGCCATGGCCGGAGACTGAATGGTGCGGCCACTGCGAAGCTTCGTGGTGAAGACGGGGAACGTTCCACCTCCACCAAATATGTTACGGAAAAGAAGAGACGCCGTAACGACGAGGCTGGGGATTAGATATATTCCAAACCAGCGGTAATGGCGTGCCCGGTTCACCAGCGATCGAGCGGAGACAACCCTTCGTCTTCCTCGTCAGGCACACACGCGCGTCGCCCCTAGATATCAGTATACATGCATGTAGCAATATTCTAGGCACTATAGTTTGGGTTTGTATGTTTTACTGATGGCACAAGCTGCAGGTGGCTGACGTGGCCTGCATTTCTCGCTGAAATTAGTGCACCTGAAAAAATTGAGGCTGAAAGGGCATTTTGGCACAGCATGGCGCAAATTCAGCAAATTTCACAGGTTTGGCGCAGCTCGGCGCAGCTATCGGGAATCTTATCAAATTGGCCTAATTAGCGAAGCTGTTGCACCCCTGCCCAATTATACGATGAAAAAATTTCAAACGTGGATGATCGCTTCTCTCAATTGGGTGCCCCAAGTTAGCATGGTTGCGGTGATGGTGTGTGGTCATAGCAATCGCGTACAAAGTGAATGCTATTTCTGAATACTTTCCAGTTTATCAATATTCGTTTCAATCAATGGGTCCCAAGTAATGGCAGCATAGTTTAATCTGGGCAGAATGAAACAGTTATATGCAAGGAGACATGCTGGGAGAGTGGATAGCTTTAGTACCCAGCGAAAAAAAAATTTTTTTCACGCTGCGACTCGACCAGTGTATTGATTCTAAGGGGATCACTTGTTCTTAGAAGCCCTAGGTACCTCTACCCAATTACTTCGGTATGGTAATTGCTATTGTAGACATTATATAACGGGCACTTTTTGTGAGTAATTGTCATTGCTACTATTTCTTCCAGATTGAAAGACATCTGCCGATTTTTACCCCATTACACAACCTTCTTGAGAGCTTGAATTAGGGGCAGCTGTTCAGTTGGCTTTTTAACTATGTGATATAAAATGCAATCATCAGCACATGTTTAGGTGCCATTGAAATGCAATCAATGATATGGCTTATCAAAATAAGGACAAAAAGTGGTCTGAGTATCAAGCACTGTGAGACACCAGATGACATTAAAACTCTGCTCAAGCAATGTTGCTCAAGTAGAGATAAGAGTTGAAAAACTAGTTAATTGTGGATAAAAGAAACAATTCACTAATGATCAGTTATGTATGATGAAACCTAGGATACTGGCTAAGGGTGTTGAAGTACCAAGTCTAATTTATAAAGCAGTTTATTATGAGAAACTGTGACAAAAGCTTGGCAACAGTCAATAAAAATAACCTTAGTTTGGTTACTGCTCTCAATGGATAGCACAAATCATGTATAGTTTTTACTCATTGAGTTGTGTAGAAAAGCTCCTGCGAAAACTATGTTGTCCTTCGACGAAGTTTTGTTTCTCGAGAAATTTTGAAATTCGTTTATTAGGCTTGTGCAAATAGTGAATTTTAGGTTTGAAGTGAATTCGAAGCAAACTGTGATTTTGGTCTACTAACTTATAATCAAATTCGAATAGTATTTTTCACATATTATACAAAAAATTGGCATATTTGTCATGGCCTCATTAACCTACACAATCTACATTTTAAATTCAGACAAGGCCTTTGCAAATGCCATTTTTTTCATTTCAGAAGAAGTGGAAACAAGTTTGAAAGGTAGCATTATTTGACTTTTGGTAATGCAAGTGATAACTTGCAAACTATGTTACGTTTATTATTAACAATACTTAGAGCATATAAGCCAGTATAACAAGTTTTTAAGCATCAAAAATGATGAATCAATGTTAGGATGACATGTTCATTTAATCTTGAAGCGGGGCTTCATGGCGATGCGGATTTTCAATGAATGCTTTGACGACTTGGCCCCCTCCACTGCAGTGAAACCATCTTTACGAGGGTTACACATAGACTAATGTACACCATTTAGGTCAATTTCATATAGTTTGAAATTTTCAATAATTTAAATTAAAATTGAAGTGAATTCGAATACTGTGATATTTGTAGGAACATTCGAAGCATTCGAATATTTACACAAGCCTAGTGTTTATACTTTTCGTCACTTTGTAAGCCAACTTCTTAACGTCAATATGTCAACTAAAGATGAGATACAGTAGGGCAACTTAAACAGCTGCACTGAGCTGTGAAACAGCACACACCTCTCGGCAAAACAGCTGCTGGAGCCTCCTCCTCGCTCTCATCATCAGACCTGCCACGCTTAGGCCACACGTTGACAGGCACATCCACGAATCCCAGGATGCGGTCCTCTTGCTCACACAAGACAATGCGCAGGTTGTCCCTGGTGCCCACATGTTCCTCGGAGAGACCAAAGTAGTGCACCTCTCTGTAAGAAACAGAGAACTTATTGAAGTGCCTGGTCCTACAGATAATTCCCACATATGTGTCAGGGTGCAGGCCTGAATTTTGCAGGAAAACCACACAGCAACATCTTCAATAAGACCACAATTTAATGTGACCTTATCACCAAGTCAGACATGTTTCAGAGAAGTACATAAAAAGGAAGTTTGCGCTTTTGAAGAGATTTTGTCGACCTTCTGAAACACTATACAGTAACTGTGCAATAGTCTGAAGTTTATTACAACCTAATAAAAATGCAGTTCCGACCAGAGAATTGTGGAGCAGCCACCTTTCATGTGAACTCTTCATTACTATGCCTATTAAAATCTATCACCAGTGATCAATGCTCTGAAACGTCAATTTTGGCATGCCGTATTTGTTTCTCATGCACCTGACACCTCCAAGTGTTTAGTCCAGCTACTGAACTTACATAATCTAAATTTGACCGCTATTGCAAGATTGTGATTTTTGACAGATGTTCCTGCAACACAATGCAAGTGGGTTGGGAGTGTGCGCTTGGCTGATGCACTACGGATAAATGCGTGCCATTCGAGGTTAGCTTTTTTTTGCGCAAAATGCCTTCCACAATGGAACACCAATTCACCCAACGCTTGGTTTTTCTAAACAGCTTTCTGCTTGAGATTTTATTGCCATAAATAATTCTACACTTGCAAACTTTGGTCACTATGGCGCGTAAAATGAGCTGCCACGGTGGTCTAGAGGTTGTGGTGCTCGACGACCAAACAGCAGGTCGTGGGAATGAAGCCCGCCCACGGCGGCCCATTTTCGATGAATGAAAAGTCGCTAGAGGCTCGTGTACTTAAGACTTAGGCGCACGTTACTGAACCCCAGGTGGTCGAAATTTTCTGAGCTCTGCAACTATGGCATCTTTCAGGCATTAAACTGCATCGATTTGTTTTCCTTATTACTGGCCCTTAAAATGTAACATCCACAGCGTGGTCACATATGAGCCGGCATGTGACAACGCAACTGGCGTTTGTAAAAGCAATATTTGCAGCTAGTGTCACCAAATGGTAATATAAGCAATGCTTGTTACTTGAGGAGTGATCAACACGCATATTATCTAATAATGTATCTCATTTTACTAAATGCCGAGTTTACTCGCTCGTGCAACCTTTTAAATCATAAGCCTCATCTTGTGCACGCTCGTCAATAGAGTCAGTGGACGTTGGTTCCAAATAGATTCGCGAACTCTAGTGATCGCTTGAAACTCAATAATAAACCGTGTTGTATATTCTAGTCTGGAGGAAGAATAAACATTCTTCTGAAAAGAGAATATAGGAGCCAGGTTGGACGGGGGGCTCAAGCCGGCAGGCCACAACCCTTGCAGACCATGTGCCAGCCTGGATTGTATGGACAACTTTCTGTTCCTGAAGGATGTCTCCGATGTTTCTGGTGAGGGAGATGGCTGTAGGCATTCCTCTGGGGGTAGTTTAATTTATTCCATATGGCATACTTGCACCCACCTACTCCCCTCGAAGAAAAAAAAGAAGTAATGACACTATAGAAGCACTCCGCTGGTTCAACAGCAGAGTGTCTATCAACTTGATATTACTTAATTCCTTGACTTTTCTAGGTTTTCCACGATGATTAAAACCAAATTCCATCACCGGCACATTTTCTTGGAAAACTCTGTGCGCTGGAAACAAACATTCAAAGGGTAAAAAAAATCAGATGCTCCATATAAAATAAGTAAACCTATTTACCAGATGCACTCTGAATGTTCTGAGCATGTGCGGTAAATGTGAAAAAACATGTATATCAGGCCAAAATGAAAACCCTGAGCCAGGCAGTGATCAAGTCAGCTGTTTGATGTTCGGAAGAACCAGAAAGCAAACACAAAAGTTAAAAATAACTGCAGATGAAACTTTGAAGAAGCCTGCGGTAGTCGAACATCGCAGTCACCGCTGCTAGGAAAAGTAGCAGTGGTGCCATCTCGCAGCATCCGTGTTAAACGAAAAAGATGGGAGCCTGGCCGGTTCTGCCACTGAAGTATATCTAGTTTACTATAATGCCTGTAGCCCACGCCTTTAAGATGTGAATTGGATTGAATTAGATCGACCTGAACTGCTGTATTTATTGACTCAACTACTTAGGATGTGGATAGAATTAGATGTGATTCCACCTTGATTGCTGTATTTACTACTGATTTGGGTCCCTGCCTAATTTGCACTCCTCTAAAATATACTTTTCGCAAAAAAAAACAAACAATAACTACTACTCGCATGTTCTGTGTACCTTGCCTTGACAACGAGTAACTGCAACATTGCAAGAACAGAGCCGTACTGCAAATTTCTTTTCTTTTTCTTTCTTTTTTCAAAGGACTCATGCATGTTTGTATTTTATGTCTCTGAGCTTTAACGCTTGAAGTGCAACGAGAGTTCTGGATGGCTGCAATGAAAGCTTGAAATAGCGTTTAAAGTGACGATGTTTGTATATGTGGTGGCAAGAAGGAATCTGTCAACATGCAACAGCTTCCTTGATTCCACAGATGAATCACGAATGTCGCACATTACCTTGATTTACATACCCTTCTGTGGATGTGAACCTAAAAATATTTGCAGATTTATTTACAAAGTTTCACAAAACTTAAATGATAATTTAGCTGAACTTACCCTAGTGCTACCCTTGAAACACATGCTACCAGCAATAAGTGTGTAGCTGAGAATGTTTGCTGTTGTATTACTACAAATAATAATAATAATAATAATAATATAATAATAATATAATAATAATAATAATATATTATTTTATATTATTATTATTATTTTTATATATTATTATTATTATTATTATATTATTATTATTATTATTATATTATTATTATTATTATTATTAAAAGCCATGAGTGGCCCGGCAAGCATGTGGTGATGGCAGTTCTAGCCTAGACAAACAGCCTAGACCAACCAGACGGCCTTAAAGCCGAACCGAAACCACGGCCTAGATAAACATGCATAAATTTAGACAGACCTCAGTGAGTAATGTTGTGGTTCGAAAGTCAGATATGCCGACGTGAGTAATAATGTTGTGGTTCGAAAGTCAGATATGCCATGTGATATGTAGAAGCAGCAGACATTAAAATGGTGCATGTACCAACATGAAAGCTAAGGAATGCTTTAGCCAATATGAAAAACAAGTTGTCGAGCAGAAATTTCCTTGGTCCTCTTTATGACATAGGTTGCCACAATTGTGACACAAGTACATAGGTGAACTCGTGATTTCAAGAAAAAAGTTAAACAACACAAATATGATGCCACGAAATGGCGCGTGGCCTCAACTGCCCATGCTGAACACATGGAATCTACAAACCACCAAGGGGTGACTCGAGTAAATGCGTCACAGTGTGGTGGGTATCACGTGAATGTTGCATAATAGGTGAGGCGTAAACTCGAAAAGGCTCATGGATGCACGTAGTCCGCTTTGACTTCCGATTCAACGCTGCCATGGTCTCTCCGGCTGCTGCTTAATTTGTTGGGTATCTGTGTCGCTCATGCACGATTTACGTGCACTTACTTCATCCCAACCCATCGTTAATGCGATAAATTTCTAGTGCACACTACCATGGCCACATTGACGACTGACCACGAAAGGTAAGCATGTCTTGTCCTTGCCAAATAACATTTTCATTTGAAGTGGCAAACGACACCACGATTTTGTGTTTTCTCGGAATAAGTGGCATGGCCTTCATGGTCAAGTCTCTCAACTAATTTTAACTGTTATTGTAATTCTGTTGGCTCTGGGTCACTTACATAATCATGCAGGTCACCCCCTTCTGTGTTTATTTTTGCAGTTTTCTTGCTGTCGGTGCGCTCAGCTGTTTTCGCACTCGTAGTTGCACTGTCTGTCTCCGTATCATACTGTTGGGTGTAGTAGCTCATATAAACTTCCACCATGTGCCAGGGTATCCTATGCTAGTAAACTATGTACAGCGTGCCGGCCTGAAAAAAAGTTCAATCGTCTGTTCGTGAATGCAGTTGTAGCGTGGCCTCGATTAGAATGCAGTTCTGAAGAAGCTTTCAAAGCTAGACATGGCAGCGGTTGTCGAGATTATTTTGCATTTACGTATTGCATCGTGTTCGTGACCAGCTGCTCGAGACGGTGCTCACATAATCGTCAGGCACCGTGTTATGCGCAGCTGCCTGATCTGCTTGCATGTGCACTAGATCAGGTATGAATAAATAGACTACTATGAAAGGAATGATTAGAGGAACGAAGTTACTTGGAATACGTTATGCAGTTGTGAGTGAACAAACCAGGCAACCCTTCTTTTTTTCTATTGTGTGACATAGCAAGTCACCAGATCGAGATAAAGTCCAGCAACACACTCATACGCATCTTATGCTTACTTTCAGCAGTCTTGTTCACTGATACAAAACTTATTCTTCTTTTTGTGTTGTACTTGCACCAACCAGTGGCTTATGGACTTTCCTTACAGGAGCTCTCTACCCATCAGCCCCCCCCCCCCCCCCCCCCCACCAACAAGCACAAACGCAAAAAACGCATGGTGACACCAGTTTGAGGTAAAAGACTAATTGGCAGCTATACTCAAAAACAATACCTACCAAGTATCTACCAAGCAACTTTATTAGTAGCTATGAAACACAACTAAAATATCAACATATTACACATGCCAGTGCATAAACAACAAAGCAATGTGCTTTTCTCAGCCTCTGCTAATCATTATTTTTGTTGTTTATTGTGTTCTATGCTCGAGTTAGAAGCAGTACTATAAAAAATGAAAAGAACTTCTCTGGCAGATCGGAACGGGGAATGAGTCAAGAGAAAATTAGGCGATTGACATGCGACTGCATGGTGATGCATCATGAAATTACGCAACATTATAGATTGGTCAAGCTTCACTACTACCCCGGGCACGAATCTCCAACTTAATGGCAGGATGTCGTACGATAGCAAGTCCAGACAGGCTCCTACTAATTGTGTACTGTCATTACATTTACACCTTGGCGTAGGTGTAGAGTGCCCAAGGCCAACGTACTTCGGGCTGTCTAATTATACGTGTGCTTTTGTGCCTGCAGGGCTTGCAAATTACCACGGCGCAACAGTGGGAGG